TCCCTCCCTCCCCTCCCCTCTCCCTCCCTCCCTCCCTCCCTCCCTCCCTCCCTCCCTCTCTCTCTCTCTCTCTCTCTCTCTCTCTCTATATATATATATATATATATATATATTATATATATAGATAGATTAGATAGATAATATAGATAAAAATATAGATAGATAAATAGATATCTATTTCTATTAGTCTATCTGTCTGTCTATATATCTATATCTGTCTATCTATCTATCTGTCTGTCTGTCTATCTATCAGTCTGACTGTCTTTCTGTTAAGATATGTAATTCTGTAATATTTTCTATTTTAAGAAAAAAACAGCATCGTGAATTTAAATTTAAGGTATGATATTTAACTTTCATTCATCTAATTATTTTTTAAGCCTTTCAAAACATTTTCATAGGCAGATTTCTCCAAGATACATATAATTAAATGGCAAATCTAATGTAGTAGACAATATATTTTATTATAATCATTTATATAGTATTATTTTGATATAGTATTAATATAATAGTAAAATACACTGTTTAATGTCTGAAGGTTATCTCACTGCTGTAACCTAAAATTTCCAAAAGAATAAATAATAATCCTCTTGTAAGTACAATAACATCAAGTTTCACCGTTACTTATGCAAAAACAGCATCAACCCTTCAGTGACGGGTACCACTAGAGCTGTCATGGTGTAAAGACCTATGACTTATATAAATGCTAGATACTTTTTTACTGCTATTTGTAGACTTTGGAATAGATTGCCTTCAGAGATTGTAACTTCTCAGAATCTTGATAAGTTTAAAAGATCAGCTAACATGTTTTTCTTACATAAATAGCTGACTTTCTATTCTTCCATTCTTTCTTAGCTGTATCTTGACCTGCACTGACACCTTTGCTGGTATAAATCTCAATTTTTTCAGTGTGGCTCTTTATATAGCTTACTATAATAATAATAGTAATAATAATAATACGTGTCATGACTCACAACAGGTAGGCTGGCTGTAAACAGTTTAGCCCTAGCCACAAAGACGTGTTATATCATATCGCAAAAATTTAGGCCCCATCATGATAGGATTAACTTTCGTTTTCTAGAAGTGGCTTTGATTTACACATGAACCATTAATGATGCAGCATTCATTTACAAGTAAAAAGTGATCTTGTTTTCACAATATATAATAAAAAACTCAAAACTTGAATTTCTAAATCATTTTTATTTACACTCTCAAGTGGTGTCACATAATCTTGTAATAGTACATTGTATACTGAAAATAAAAAGCTTTCTTATATATTTTTTCCATATTTTCTGAGCTAGAACCTAAAATAGCAAGTCCCATCACACAGTCTCTATCCTGAATACTTATTTATCTTCATTAATTTTTCAGTTTAATTATATATTAAGCAAATAATATTAGACATATCTGGATCATCAGAACCAGTCAGATATCAGACTTGCACAAGCAAATTCATATAGTGAAAAATGAATATACAAAGAATTATCATATTTATTTACAGTCACTTTGGTACATACATATATATACAATTCAAGAAAACTATCAATGTATCTATATTCTTTACACTTTATATCCACAGCCCATGAAATGCCCTTTTCCCATGTCTTGCACTATATCCACATACTCATTGAAAAATTTGACCTTGACACTATTACCTAAAGCAATTTATTTGGAAATGCACTGTTTAATAGCAGAGATAAGAAAAAAAAAATCCCCTAAAACATGAAAGACAATGGAATGAGAACCAAAAATCTGACTCTGTTGTTCCCAGCTTATATCACTGCATTCAGTTCTTTAGATATAAAGGTTTAACATGTGAATTATCATCTTCTTTGAGTAGCTATAACATACTTTACACTAGATACAAAACAGGACATGGAATTATTACAAAAAGCTGCAAATATGTGGAATGATACCTCTTTAGTGTTTCCTAGATATTCTTTCCTAGCTGGTAATTTGTGCATCTTCAGTGAAAACAGACTTACACACACACACACATACACAAAAAAAAAATCATATATACAAATACTTACAGGTATATGTGCTAGCATTACAAGACCAAGAACAACGCATACACTATACTTATGAGAGTGGAGGTAACCCCTTGGCTATTTAAAGAAGACGTTCAATATAATGCAAAAGTTCAAAGCCAACTTCGACCATGATGAGGATGATGATGATCCACTCTAGCCGCGCTGAATGCTTCTCATTCAAGTGGCTCGTCAGCAGTTCCATTAGCTCGATGCAGTGGCTTAGCTTCACATTCATCACCTGTTGGGGAAATAGAGATGGGTGATGGTTGTAGTTAGAAAAAATTACTTCTTGATATGAAAGGAACACTTCATTCAGTTTATATGATGAAGTGAATAAAAATTCTGTGATGTATAGTGCACTACATTGGTTTTAACGTGTTTGCTGTTTCCACAATCATAAATCATATATATAACTGATCTTAACTGTCATGGTGAAATATAAATAATAATATACTAATGACATTACTGAGACATCAAAATAAATAAAAGAAAACAGCTTCAACTCAGATTCGCAATTATGAAAATTAATGAATGAATCCACTAATAACAAGCCATACATTTAGGCGGAGAGCTTACCGAGGTGCGCTTGGAAATGTTAAGGTGGTTGGCTGTCTTCTGGTAGAGCTGCTCCAACTCGGCATGGTCCCAGTAGAAGTCGGGGGTGTCAAGGAGATCTGAGCTGAGGTTGATGAGGTGACGCAGGGCAAACAACTGGCCCATCTTCTGCAGGACCTGGTCTTGGGTCAGCACCACACGGCCAGTTTTGCTCAGCTCCTATAAAAGGGGAAAGGGGATAGGATAGGATGAAGATGAAGGACAAGAGGAGGGAGGAGAGGAGAGGAGGAGGAGGAGGAGGAGAGGAGGAGGAGGAGGAGGAGGAGGAGGAGGAGGAGGAGGAGGAGGAGGAGGAGGAGAGGAGAGAGGAGGAGGAGGAGGAGGAGGAGGAGGAGGAGGAGGAGAAGGAAAGGACAAGGACAAGGACAAGGACAAGAAAGAGAAAGAGAAAGAGAAAGAGAAAGAGAAGGAGGAGAAGGAGAAGAGAAGAGAGAAAGGAGAAAGGAGAAAAGAAGAAAGAAGAAAAAAAGAAAAAAAAAAGAAAGAAAGAAGAAAAAAGAAAAAAGAAAAAAAGAAAAAGAAAGAAAGAAAAAAGAAGAAGAAAAAGAAAAAAAAGAAGTGGAAGAAGTAGATGATGAAGAGAAGGAGGAGATTAAAAAGAGATGGAGAAGAAAGTGACAAAAAGATGTATGTGAGAAGTAAATACTTTTTTTTTATTGAATTCTATAAAAGAAATACAAGAAGATTCATCTTTCTCTGTAAATTTCACTGCCAAAGAAGTCTTGACTTTTATAAGGTAATTTCATATTGCTACAAGTGCGGCGAATTAGTTGCGCTAAATCATTATCAAAAGTGTGACTGCTTTAACAAGCAACTACAATTATTACACATAAGATCACAAACAACACTGTATATGTTCCCAGGAATACTTACTTCTGATACATATTCAATCTTTTCTATATACTTGTCCAGTGAGGATTCCCATATTCCTAGTTTCACAGACATGGCCATAGCATTGCTGAATGTATACTTTTCTAAATCTGTCTGTCCTTCAGTATTCAGAATGATTTTGTCCTTCACCAATCTTGTTTTGGTCCTATAGACAGAGTTAAAAACATTAGCATACATATACATACAGAATATGCATAAATATATAGTCATATAAACACATATCTATATCTATCTATCTATATATATCACTTTATATATCTCAAAAAGAATTTTCAATATGTTCTCAATAGACCAGAGGTAAAAAGTACTTAATAAGAGGAAGCAACTTCTCATGTTCTTTTTTAATTCAAACTCCATGACCACCTACTCTAAGGTCAACCCCAATAGGCTAAATTGCCTCCAATTAAGCATATGGGTACATTTATCCTCATGTCTGGGTCACCTCCACAGAGCATCAACTCTATAAAAGCTATTTTCCTGCCCCAGTTTTATGTGAATGGGATGCTGTGAGGGTAAACTAATATATTTACACCTGCTTGGCAAATTTCTTACAGCCCCACCCCTTTCCCTATACCTCACTGTACCTTATGTGCATGTGAGTGGCTTCCCTTCCATTCAATCTTTTCTCTAAGCCCTTTCAAGCCACCAGACACCACAACACCCATCTTTACGTTGGCTTGTTTCATTCCTTATTAACCCTCCTCTTTCGGAGCAAACTTGCACCTTTTTGTTTTTCACTTTACATGCTATCTTGGGAACTAGGTTAGCCAGACTTAGAGTTTTTCCTTAGCCAGATCCTGCTTCTTTTGCAGCCAGTGATGATGTAATTTATAACCATTGTGATGTTGTTTACTTTTATCTTGCAGTTATGACACCATTAAACATGTTTTGAACCCAACCTATATGCACCAAGTCTGGAGGAGTTTCATGGAAATGTAACCAAAATAGTAGGGTGGGAGCACAGGACGAGACATGCATTTTCTGGTGTTTAAAATCAAACTACTCTAATCTGCTCCTGGTAAAGGTTCAACATTTTGGTTAATTTACAACTGGAGAGCTAGAATGTTGCTAAGGTATTGCAACTTTTAGGGGTTAAAAGCTTACAAATGGAGGGTTCATGCATGAAGTTGACTCACGGTAAATCGCTGTACGCATATGTCAAGCTCTCGCACTCCTCCTCCACAGCTTCCTCATCATATCTTCCTGTCTCATATTTCTTCAAAAAACGGAGGACATTGTCTCGCTCTATTTCTGGCACATTCCAGAATACGACTGAACCCTCTCGAAAAAAGTAGATCTCACGATTTTCTGTTTCTACTCTGTATGTGGCGACCATGTGTAAGACATCACTGGCATCTAAAGGGCGGGCATAAAATCAGTATTATTAGTAACAAAAAGTGTGGTATTCTATTTTTCATGTCTCTTATAACTGCAAATTATGATCATTAATAGTTAAAATCAACAAAACCTTATATTTTGATACAGCATATTTTAAAATCTCTTATCAAAAACTGTACAGGTCTACATAAAGTATGGAACGATTTTTCATCACCAATACTGAGAATTTTTGGTCACTGTTGATGAAATATTATTATTCTAAATGAAAATAATATATTTTACTCATATAGTTACTTAAAAACTGCAATGACTTACTACCTTGATAACAATATACACAGAGGAAAATCAGATACAGGGGATGAAAAGAATAACCAGAAAAAAAGGTTTTAGAGATACCTACAAAAGGCTATTGGAGAGAGGTTATAACTGTTAGTAATGCAATTTCTTACAGTCAAACATCATCATCCAAAAAATAAAATGGATAAATAAAAGAAATACAGTTATGGAGAAAAAAATGGGGAAGATTAGAAACAAGCAAAACGATGATACAACCTTAAAGCTCAAACTCTTACCATGATCTTGCAAGACGAACAATACTTAATCAGTCCCTCACGATATCTACAATATTCTCAATTCAAACACAAGCTATTTAATCACAAAATATCACTGAAATTAAATCACCCAAACTCTTCATATTTCACATGAATTACAAAATACCCTAAATAAATCATTTTTGGGACAATGATCTTTATGCTTTATTATAAGAAAACACATACAAATGTAGAGAAGGTATGAACTGGAATAATAGAATAGGCTTTTACCTTTCTGATACCCAAATATAATTGTACTGGATGCTGTGTCTCTATAACATTCATTTTCTTGAAAAAGTGAGGTAGTAATCTTAAAAGTACTGAAAACCTACTGCACTTGCTCTTAACCTTGCGCCAACAGGTGCGTCATGTTTCATGCTGGACCCCATGCCAAGAATAGAATGCTGTCACCCCTTGACATCAAAATCAGAAGCATTGGAAAAATATAACTTGCCATTATTTTGGCTGAACCATTTACAATTTCCCAAGCTAAAAAGTGACTTTAAGCCTACTTTTAAGGGGTTATACCTCCTCAATCATTGCAGTAATAGACAAACAAGTGAAAACCCAGTAAGTGCACACAACTTTGAGGAGGCTTAACACATGAGGCATTGACATCCATGCTACCTAGAAAGGAGTCTACTCATGCTATGGCATGTACATTCATGCCGACCGCGAGCAATGGTCAATATTAATATAATCAACATCCGTATTATATGTATGAGTATAGGCATTAATTTCTAGCTTCACAAAGTTAAATACTTAGGTGACTATACGAGATTGTACTACATAATATAAAGGAAAGAACTACATATCAAGAATGAAAGAAAGAACTAAAGAATACTTAGGGTACAGGCACATAGGTATCAAATATTATTTCCTTTTAAATCTAGATCAAGCCACCATGAAATGCTGAACTAATACAGTTACTATCCTGATCATGTGATAAGAATATGAATAAAACACTACAGAATAACCCATTCATTTCATCCAACACACAAGAAGGGGGTGAAGGAAAGGTTGTTCCTTTTTTTAAGACTTCTGATATCTAGCAAAGGGAAATAAAGTAAGGAAGTAACGAGTAAAAGGAAAGCAAGTGACTTCCCAACAGCCAACAAAGGCATCATCATACAGCAAAGCAGGACTGGAAAAGTTTCAGAAAATTACTATTTCATGATAGGTCATAGAAGTAGAATTTTATTAAACAAGAGGAAGGAGAATGATATATTTTTTCTAGACTGAAAAAATGGAAAATAGCAATAATTCACTTTGTTATAATAATTTCACGTCATATATAAATCCCTTTTTTACACATTATATAATTTTAAACATAAAAAATATTTCTATAGTATAAAACAATTACTTTTCCAGTATTCATTGGATATGTCACACATTTTCACAAAGACTTTGCCTCTTTTTCCCATCCATAAATGAATAAATCTTACCTGGTACAGAATGTGATGAGGCATGAGACCCAGACTTTGACGACAAGTGTGCATGGCTGTCAGAGTGCATTCCTGGTGACGTACTCATCTTATCATTATTGGTGTTACCTGGATTAATGCCAGCTGAGACGTAGAGACCTTGATGTGTCAGGCCATCTAGGAGTTTGTTTAAGTCATATTCATCTGCTGTTGCATACGCGGTGACTTGCCATTCCTGGTGAAGAAGAGATGTTAAGTAATACTTAAGCATTTCTCTAAGTTGGCTCTCTTTATTTTATAGACCTATAATTTAATGAACCAGAAATTATGTGTAGAAAATCTAGCTGTGTAACTACTGAATGAGTTAAGCACAATTATTATATTCAAAGAATGTAAAAAAAAAAGAGATAAAACTTTAATGGTAGTTCCACTTCTCACTACTTACTAAAATGCTCAAATTTCCTTCAAAAACATAATAGTTTACCAAAACAAGTTAAAAGACAGATATGATTCTCCTTATAACTAAGGCTCTGTAGTAGATTTACCTATCCATACATATTACCTTTTCCCTGATTATGAATTTCCTAAGCAAACAAAAATTCCTCTCAGTATAGGAATAATATACCTGTGAAGGTTCTTGATGTAGGAATCTCGAGCAACTATTCATTTTATAGGTATTTATCACGCCACGCACGCACGCACGCACGAATAATATACCTGCACGCACGCACGCACGCACGCACGCACGCACATATCTATCTATCTATCTCTACGTATCTTTCTATATACATACATCATGCTTCACCTAAAAGTATATTACTAAAAGATTTACTAAATACCCATAAAAATGTTGAATTATAAAAGTTTGTTCTACACAAACATATGTATATGACTGAAGTTTCATAAAAGAACATGCAAATGTCTTCAAAAAACAAAAGTACATTTTTGTCACACATCTGTACCCATGCATTCCCTTGGCACAAGCACAGCATGAAACTGAACATTGAAATCTGGTAATTACGAGTTGAACTTTTCACTTGCTTAGGAATATTGATCAAGAGAAAGATAAAAGCCACTAAGGCAAAGTAGCAAATACCCAATTTGATAAATGTAATTACAGATTCTTTTTGTCTAACATGGGATTCCTTTTGTAAACTTTTCATATTGTGTACCCAATATCTTTAAATTTAGGCAGATTTAACTCCAGACACTTATCACAATGAGACTCCAAATACAGAGAGGTAATCAAACTAAAAATAACTATACATTCTAAGCTTACTCGAGGTGGCGGTCTGTGAACTTGGACTTCAGGTAGAGAAAAGTCAGGATCAAAAGTAAGGAACTTGTGCCGTGCCAAGGGAGCAAAGCCTGCTACTGTCTCCTGAGCCTGGAACACATAGGCAAACCCATCACTTTTACTTACACATTCAAATTACTTCTATTGCACAAAAGCTCTTTTCTGGACAGCTCACCTTTCTCATTGCAATTTATGGTTACCTTCAGGTAATCAGAAAAAAAAGTTCTCTTTGTCACTATTCCTACACTTATTCATGTTTTATTTGATGATTCTCTTTCTTAATTTAGTTGTGAATAATATCATCAAAGGCATTACCTCATCAGATTCTGTGGAAGCCTGCTTCTTCTTCCGCTGCACTCTTTTCTTTGCTTGTAATGAGGATATTCGATTGTGAATGCTAGAGAAGTCATTTCTCCCTTGTGTTATGTTTCTAGTAGCCTGTGATGTGCCACTTAATAAAGTGACATTACTAGTAACTCCTTGAGTCAACAGCACATTAGGTCCTTGACTAAGTGGCATTCCACCATTACCCCTATACCTCTTAGCCACACTATTAGCTAAAGTTTGTGATAACTGGGAACTAAGAAAAGGTCTTCTCTTGGCAAATGAGTCCAAGTCACTGGAAACTCTTCTCCCTCCCTGGTGGCAGCTTACATGATATTGTGACACAAACACACAGTTATTCCTTATATTTCCAAATGCTGATGACAGCACCCTCCCTGAACCTAGAGTCATGCTAATGCCATGATAGTAATTTTGCTGCAGATTAGTCCAAGTATGTCTGAGTCTTTGATGAATTGGAGTTACATCTGACAAGAGCTGTCGTCCAATTGTCACTGTTCTACCCGCCATTTCACAAGTGGACAAGCCTGAAAAGTAAGCAAAAGTAATCTCATTAATTAAATAAACTTCAATGAAATAAAGAATGATAGTGTCAATGACTGTGACAATGGCTCTGATTTAATAGCAAGGGGACAATTGTGGGTATATCTGAAGAGGAACTTGCTTGATAAGCTATGCAATAAGGTGGCTAGTTCCTTTACATCCTGACTGACCCCAGCTGATGTCAGTACTTAACTGAGTTAACTGGAAAGGGGTGTGCAGGCCTAAAGAAAAGACCTTGCAACTGCAAAATCTGTGTTCTACCAATGAGCTAGCCTATGCCACATTTATGACACTGATGTATGTATACTATGAATCCACTGTACAGTAGTGACTAGCAGCTGACTGAATAACCTTAAGGAACATGCTTTGGTACTTTTAAATCATTAATCTATTTTTTTTTAATTATTTTCTTATATAAGATAAAAGACTATATTTTCATTAGTAACCCTTAGTCAAATTACTATATTTGCATATGTAATTAACCTGATTTCTCTATAATACATAAGATCAAGCAAATTGAACTTGCACAAAAAATGAGATTTACATGAGATATGCTTAACCAATATGAATCAATACATTAGTCTGATTAAGTATATAAAGGATGCTGATTGAGTAATAACATTAAGAATATCTAAAAAATAGAAACGTTGCATTCCACTTAATTATATTCTTATTTCACATGACCAGGAAGAAATAACTTGTCAATAAATATTCCTATTCATAGAATACAGATATTTCCAAAAAATAGTCAGCTATGTGTATATGAGTATTTGTATTAATCATGAACTTATCATTCAGTACCTGAAGAGTGACGTCTTTTGTAACTTCAACACAATTAAATTCCTTTTATAAACAAATTTCATCATGCAAACTGATCACACAGGGAATAAAAGACAACTGTCTTTTGCCCTATATTTTATACAACAAAAA